CTGAGCCATGATATCTATTTCCGCTTTATTTATTTACTTATTTATTTACTCTGTTTTAAATATCTTATTATAGATTAGTAATGCGCCTCAGCCTAATAAGCTAAGGCGTGCATTAGGGTGCCGGGGTTGTAGAGGTTATGGGTTTTCCCAGGCCTTTGCACCTCCTGTCACCGTATTTTTACTTTTTTCATTATGTAGTCAGCAGCAGCAGCAGCAGCAGCAGCAGCAGCAGCAGCAGGAGCAGCAGCAGCCGGCAGATCAGCAAGCAGCTGCAGCAGTGGCCATGGCCCGGGCCCTTTATCGCCAGGGTTTGCGGCAGCTTCCCTGGTGCCAGGACCCGAATGCAGGGTCGACTGGCTGCCGGGACTCGGGGCGTACGAGTCGTCCGGCCTGCCGGCACCCGCACGCAGGGGCCGGCCGTACTTTTATAACGCCCGTCTCAGGTGGGTGGATGGGTGGGTGGGCGACGTGGGTGTGGGTGTGGTGCGTACTTCGTGATTTGGGTTCAACTAGTGGTCGTGGAAAAAGGCCGCAGGGCCGCAGCGCACGTGTCGCAACGAGGCCTTGTGACTTTTGGGCAAAATAATGACATTTGGTGTTTTACCCCCCTCCCCCCCGTGTATGCTGCCGCCTTACCTATCCCCTCTGGCCATTTCCCCCTTTATCACGCACCTCCTCTTCAGGTGCGGCTGGGGCATCAACCTGTGCACCGAGCGGGCGTTGCTGATGATGGGCCCGGCTGAGGTGGGTGCGGATGGGCTTGGGGTTTTGGTGCATGGGGTGTGCGTCGTGGGGACCAGCAGCGGTACCCTTGCTTGCAACTGTCACCTAATTATGTGTGTGTTAGTTGTGTCGTACTGCTAACCGTATTTTGGCTTCCCGCGCCCTTCCCCCACCTTGTCCCTTTTCCTTCAGGTGCACTGCTGGGTGCAATTCCTCCGCACCCAGCTGCACCCAGCCGGGCGCCGCCGCTGCTGGCCAGTTGGCTGGCGGCGGCGGCGGCGGCGGCCGCGGCGGCATATAGCCGCAACTATCAACTGCTGTAAAGGCCATCGGCATCATGATCATCATGATCATCATCATCATCGTCATCATTATAATCATGGTCATCATCATCAGTTGCCGCCATTCTTGTTGGCTTGATAACTTGTTGGCTGCATGCAGCGCCAACTACGAGCAATGACCGAACGAATGGTGTCGTACAATAAACGCCATACCGGCCGTATAACGGTTAATAATAAAAATATCAATAAGTGGCGAATACAGCAGTTCTGAAAACGCTCGAGTGATCAACGTTAATAATGACCAACGGTTTCGGTTGGACGGTCAAATGGAATCAATGCAGCACGAAGACTGC